ATTGGAAAGGAGCAACTAAGTACTCGTCGTGCGCTCGGAGCTGCGGGGATGCGATCGAGTCGTAATTTTTGTATATATATACGTTTGCGTGTGTACGTTACACGACACATTATAGAAGGCCGTCGCTCTGCTGCAGCTCGAGCGCGACGTATTCTTGTATGTATGTACTTATTATAGTGCACAAAACACCACCACAGCAGCAAAGAGCTCGACTCGCGCCGCTGAACTCTCTGTGTATATAAGCCATTATATATATATCGGAGAGCGTCGACACTATAACAGAGAGAGAGAGGCAACTAAAACCTTACGTAATTCCCTTCTTGCGCCTATAGGCCTCTCTATACGTGTGTGTGTTTAGATTTTTGCTGTACATACACGTCGCGCACTAAGCAGCTAGCAGCTAGCAGCTAGCTCATTATAATTTCTTAGACGACCGAAGACTGCAGCAGCAGCTAGTGCAGTCACACGACGCCCGCGATCGCTTCTTATACAGTAGCATAGTAGTACCCTTTTTGCCTAACGCTGGTACTTCAGCCAAAAGCAGCTAGAAATAATAACGTACTCGAGCGGATTTTAGAATCACGCGTATGTACGTGTACGACTCGAGGCGATCGTGTATTGTAGGTACATTGTAGGTACCGCATGCGAGAGTGAAAGAGAGAGAGAAACTATGCGGCTTATTATGCAGATTGGCCTCGCCGCCACCACCACCAACATCACCATTCGTGCAGTTTAGGTATAATATAATAGAGAGGCTGCCGGGTCGCGGCCTCCATCCAGCTGCAGCTATAAAAGATGGTGGTGGTGGTGGCGGTGGTGAACGTGCGTGCGTGGGCGCTAATATCTCGCGATAACACGAACGCTATATATAAATGCGTTCGCTTTCGCGCAACCGATCGCGCGACGATTATAATATAAAGCCGCGCTGTCTCTTTCTACGATCGTCGACTTTAGCGCAAGCCATGCGTGTGTCTCATTTGTATTATATGATCGGCAATTGTCCGTGTCGCTCGAGCTCTCGTATCAAATTTCTTCCTCTCGCTCGATATATAAGGAAAATTTCACTGTTACGCGGACTCGCTGCTGCTGCTACGTATATATATTATAATACACGCATGGGTGCAGTTTTCGCTTGATATGCGTTTAAAAGAGGGGTGGGGTTAGATAGATATAGCCGAGCTGTATAGAACTATATCGAATGCACGCAACTGCACGCATGTACACACAGACACGTAACTTGGATAAGGAATTGTAAACGATACTCGCGCGTGGTGCACTGCAGTTTTTTCGAGCGTCAACGCGCGTAGGTGTAAGTATGTATAGGTACGCAGGGGGTCCACCACACGTTTTAAATGAAAATCGAGAGCTATATGTTTCACTGGTCGAATAGTCTTTTGTGTTTACGCTTTTATCGTGTACCTGAGTTTTTTTGGGTCTAATTATTGCCGATTTTGGCAGCCCTTTACCGATATATCTCGACGGTAGAGTGCGCATCCTCGTGACATCGAATGCGAAACAGGGAATAAAACTAAAAGTATTTTATTTAAATTTTGTTACGGCTGACAAAGAGCGCCGAGGGATACAAATGATAAAAGTCGATGTCTGTGACATTGTCTACCATGTCTCTCTCTCTCTCTTTCTCTCGCGATCTGTGCGCTGTTGTTGCTCGCACCTCTCGCGTCTATCTCTGCGGAGACAATGAGACACGACCCGAGAGCGAGAGAGGCTGGAACACCGACTTATATAGCAATACCTAGACAACACACACATACACACACATGCAAACCATTATGCGCAATTGCTGCTATATAAATGTGGATATATAATGGCATGCAACTCGACGCTGTATACTACACTGCATGGTGGCAGCAGTCGATCGACGTAGACGAAGAAGAAGAAGAAGCCTATTTCGAAATTAAAGCGATTACCACCGCGATGATTCGAAGGAGTACACGGAGAAAAATTTATAGTAAAAATTGCTATAGGTCTTAATAAAAGTGTGACATCTTTGAGGTTAGGGAAAATTTTACTAAAATCCTTTGTAATTTTTACTATATTTCTCTCAATTTTTATTTTATTTCTTATAATTTTTATACATTTTATAGCAACTTTTCACCCGAACGTCAAAGATGTCACACTTTTATTAAGACCTATAGTAATTTTTCCAAAATTTAAAGAAATTATTACTATATTTCTTCTCTCCGTGTAAGAGAGAGACAGTAAGTATATACGTATATTACAAGAACGAGAGTCGACCCTCTGCACATGTGATTATGTTTGTGTGTGTGTGTGTGTGTGTGTGTGTGTGTGTGTGTGTGTACATTTACATGTACGTAAAGTACAGCCTCGTGTGTAACGAGCCCCGCGCATACACACACACTGCAGCTTTTGCACTCGCGCCTCTATTATATGTATAACGTGATTTATTTCTCAACCTTTTTAGGAGAGTCGGAGACTTTTGCATCTAGGCGCTATGCGCAGTCGAACGACACAGGCATGTGTGTGTGTCTTTAGATAGCAATTTGTATACAGGTACGAGGCAGAGATGAGTGAGTACCGCTGCTGGCTTATAACTCGTATACCGATTCTTTTGTCGTATAGTAAAGAAAACAGCGAAATTATATCAGCCACTTACATTATAATATAACACTCGTGCGCCGTATGCTACGAAGCTGGAAAAGGTCGCGAGAGTCCATAGCGCAAAAGTTCACATGTGTACCTGTTACATGGGACGAGGAGGATCCTCTGTTAAATAAGCGAGTCCCGCGAGTATAAAGTGAGTACACGCGCGATATACGTAATACAGAGAACGAGATTGAAAAAAAGACAGAAAAAAAATGAAAATAAAAAAAAAAGAAGAAGTCTCTATACATAAGAGAGCAGCGCATTGGGGAGCACATCCACACGAGTGCGTGGGAGGGATATATAGCGCAAAATAAGAAAAGGTGTAGAGAAGCACGAAGGGCTATAGTATATAGGCGGCGTCTATATGGCCGTGCGAAAGTATATACAGTAGTAGTAGTATATTCACGGGGGGAGTATACGAGCCGCGACGACGACGACGAGGGAGGCATCAGATAATCGTGCGAATAATGCAGAGGTTAAGCCACGACAGCAGCAGCGACGGCCCCAAGCAGGCAAGCAACAGGTAACACGAGCAAAGGCGAGAGAGGAGAAAGAGAGAGACCTGTGAGGCCGGGGTTGCCTCGCATAAACATATATATAGGTATAGGTATATACTATGTAGCGGCAGGTCTGCGCTGCTACGGCGGCGCGGGAGTTTCCCACGACAGGTGACACGTGGGAATACCGACACACACACGGACGATGAGTTAACTCTCACGCATGTAGGTATATACGCACGAATACACACACATACGAGAGGCAAACTAAACGGGTAATGGTGTTCTCTCTCTCTCTCCATCTTCGTCTCACCTGACGAGCTCTTCGCAGTTCTCTCGTTCTCTCCCTATACACCCGTGTATATTGTAGTGCATAGTAATGCGCGTGCGCGAAATCAGGTGCAGCGACGCGCTACCAGCCCGCAGCTACCAACTCGCTCTGCTACCATACAACGACGGAGAAACGACGGCGACTTTCGCGCCTGTTATATTTACCTATTACGATACAGCTTCGTACGGGCAGGTTGATATTGTACACACAAAGTTGGAGTGGCTCGACGCGCCGGGAGGAGGAGGAGGACCACACGTACAGTTGAACGCATGCGCACGACGGCGACGATGATCGCGACAGGTAGATGATGTATAATACGTGACTTTGATGACTGTACGATATAAACACGCACACACCTGAGCGATGCAACAAGTGCACTCGCAGAGTTTTGAGTGTAGTATTTGTATTGTATGAGCGAAGCTGCTCCGATATGACACCCCGTACGTAGCCAAGGTGAGAAAACCCGGGGGAGGAGAAGAAAAAAAAAACGTAACAGAGGGAGGAGTCGGATAACCGAGGACGAGAATGAGGGATGTTCCTGTAACGGAATATACGGGCTGTAAGGCTACTTGACTCTCGTCGCAGTCTCGGCAGCTATATTATAAACAAGAGTTGTCATCGAAGAGTCAAGATCGAGCGATCCGACTAAATATCAAAGCGTATTTACTGCGTTTAATATCTTTCTCTCCTTTTTTTCTTTTCTTTACCGATCTTTTCATATCGATACCTCATTGTTGTTGATCATTCTTACGTACTCCGTCTCAATGTATACACAACTGCCAAAACAACCTCAAGTACTTGTTATTGTTCCTAATTTCGCGTCCGCGTATTGTGCCCAATTACGTGCATGATTGTCATCGCTACTTCGCTTCGATTCTGCTACTGCTGCTGCTCCGCCAAAAAGGAAAAAAAGCAGCCTCGTGTGCACACATTGCCGTTATTATCATTATTATACGCGCGATAAAATTACGCGACTGCGCTGCTGCTGATTTTTTTTTTCCTTTTTTGATATAGCCACGGCTCTCATTGATATTGATTCGTGTATATTCGCGAATCACGGCTATCGCTCCGATCATCGTCGTGATCATCGTCGTTCATCTTTAAAAAAAAAACGATCGAACGCGCGTTTCGCCTCGTTGAAGACCAATAAGTAAAGAGAGAGAGAGAGAGAGATCCAAATTTTAACTGTGTGTGTGTTATTGCTTTTTTTTCAATTCGTTTCACACGAGTATTAGACGCGACGACTAACGAGTGGATAGGCTGCTGTGTATACAAAGAAGCGCGAACGTGTGACGAGCGCGTGATGACACAATTAATAATGAGCCAATGTCCCTCTACTCGTTCGCAATAATATCGATAGATATGTATATATTGTATTAATTAATTGCTTATATGTATTTCATTCGTATCGGAGGAAAATGCGCCGATGCGGTTATTGACGCTACCGAGAGATAGATAGCTATAGCTGCGAGAGACGATAAAATAAAAGCGCCGAGGTTGCAAAATACAAGTCCGGGACGATGACTAATATCATATAATATACTCACTTGAGAAAGTAGATCTGTCCCTCGGGCGTCCTCGCCTGCTCCCAGCCGTGGGGCAGCGGGCCCAAGTCGTCGACGCCGGTGCTGATCACGTCGTAGCTGCGCTGCTTCTGGTGGTGCACGTGTCGCACCGACTGGGGCTGGGGCGCCGCGTGCTGGGCCTGCTGCTGAGCCGAGGCGTAGGTCTGCTGCAGCGAGGCCGGCGAGCTGTGGGCCCGCGGATGGGCCACGACGAGGCCCGCCGGTATCTGGGCCGGTCCGTTGGCGGGACTGTTGGGCCCCGTGGAGCCCGGACCACCGCCTCCACCGTTATTCTGTTGAGCCGCAGCGGCTGCGGCTGCGGCGGCCACGGCTGCGGCGGCATTGACCACGCCGAAGGCCGAGTCGGCCGAGTTCTCGCGCGAGTGCGATATCGAGGGCGACTTGCTGCCCGTCGAGGGCGGATTGAAGAAGGAGTCGGGCAGTTTGCGCATGCGCAGGGGGACGGTGAGCGGCTGGTTCGAGTTGGGCTTGAGGACGGTGTCGAACAGCGCCTGCAGATCGGACTCGCTGTTGCGGTCGACGTGCACGAGGGCCTTGCCCGAGCCCTCGTCCTTGACCACGCCACCGACGCCGCCGCTCTCCTGGTTCAGGGCCATATTTTTTCTTTACGTTTGAGCACTGAGCGACACTTTATATATATTATAAACACACACGAGAATTATCTAAGCACGGCACACAACACACTCCACTCTCACAAAAAAAACAACACTATGTATGCACGACAACAACAGCTGCAATTTTATATATCTATATTATCTGGCACTTGTAGTTGTTGTTGTTGTTGTTTCGACGTATATCCAAGTGCTGTTGTTGTTGTTGTTGTTGTTGTTGTTGTTGTTTCTGAGCGAAGGGGGGGTGGGCGACGCGCGACGACAACACACCACAGCAGGTCGACGTTACTCGGAGCCGGACGCACCTGCGACTGTGAACATTGGCGCGGTATAGAGGAGTATAGTATCGCCGGCTTATAGTAGTAGAGAGAGGAGGAGATGCGCGTCGTTGTTGGCACCTTACACACACTCGAAGCTGCGGCGGCGGCGGCGATCGGCGCTGCTGCTATATGCTACTGCTAATACATGTGTGAGCTACAGCGGTGTGGTAGTAGTAGTAGTAGTGGCTGTGGCGACGACGACGACGGTGGCGGTGGTGGTGGTATCATCGGAGGGGCTACGGCACAGTACAGTACACAGCTCTCGTAGCTAGCAGCCAGCGGAGTTCGTTTCATTCATCAGAAAACAGTACATCCGTTCTATCTGTTTTTCTCCCTCCTCCTCTCGAAGCTCTCGCTCGCTCCTCTCTGGCTTCTCTCCGTTCCTCTTTTTTATTCTTTTTTACTTCTCTCTTCTTGCCTGCGCCTGCTTCTTTATTTTCTCTCCTCTCGCTCTCTCTGTCTTCTTTCTGCGCTCTCCGTCTCACCTCCCGCGGACCGCCGTACAGCAACACGCTTCTCTCTCTCTCGTTCTCTCTTCCAGCCGATCTTCTCTCTCTCTCTCTCGGCTCGGCAGCTCGGGCTCGTTCTCCGTTCTCAGCCACTGCCGCTGCGCTGTTTCTTTTCGTCGCTTCCGCGAAATCGTCTCTCCTCTCTTTTCTTTTTCGTTCTCCTCTCTTGCCTTGTGCCTTGCCTTGCCTTGCTTGCCTGCTTCTTCTGCTGCTGTAGCTAGAGCAACTTCTTTTGACTGCTGCTGCTGCTGTCGTTGAATACCTATGCGTACGGCGTACGCGTGCAAAACAGAATAACAAGAATTATACTTTACATTATGTTTCGCTTCGGCTATATAAATTATTATTATTATGATAATGATGTTTTTTTTTTAAATTCTTTGCTCCTTATGGGACAAGTGCGCGTGCGGAAAAAGGATCAGGATGCAGGTCTGCGAGAGAAAGATCGGCAAGGCTAAAGGCATTTTTAAAAGGATCGATTCAATGAATCAACTTCAAGTTTAGATCTATCAATGGTTGCAGGGGGTGGCTATCATGGCTATCAAAGCACATTTGCCAAATAGTAAACGTCCTCTCATAATAACGTGTATAAAAATCTGCGAAAGAATAGTTGAAGCCTGCTCTGCGAAGAGACGTCAAGAAACGGAGAAGCAGCAGCAGCGGCGAAGAAAAGAAGAAATCCGAGGATGTATATGGACTTTGCGCGTGTGTGTATGTGTGTGCATTGCTAGTATATGGAGAGAGAGAGAGAGAGAGAGAGAGAGAGAGAGAGAGAGAGAGAGAAAGAGAGAGAGAGCAGTATATAGAAGGGGGCAGCAGCAGAAAGCGCGAGAGAAAGAGTAAGAGAGAGGAGATCGAGGAGTCGTCGACTCCACCAAGAGCGCGAGCAACCTCGCGAACGCAATATTATGTTTCTCTCTCTCTCTCTTTCTTATGGCCGATGCTGCATAGGTATAATATACAAGTGCGAATATCGCCCGTATACGTATGTGTGCGAGCGTAAATGTATATCGTGTATGTGTGTGTGCGTAGACGTTTATCGAAGTAGCGGCCGAAGGTAGAGTAGTATGCGCGCACACCGACGAACACACGGACATGCAGAGAGAACGAGAGATTCGCGTTTCGTGCATACGTATGTATGCTGCGTGTGTGTATGTGTGTGTGCGCGCGCGAGTGTGTTTATGACTTGTACAGGCTTGCAGCAGCATATACTCGGCTCGGCTGCTGCTGTGTGCCGCGAGTGTGTGTGTGTGCGTGCGAACGTTGTGGTGTGGGCTGCAAAGGTATGCACTCTATGCAGCGCTCGACGCAGCAGCAGCAGCAGCACTGCGCGACGTCGCGTATATGTGTATGTAATATGCACTCGTATTATTTACGTAAAACACATACGCAGCATTATACGAAGTATCAACGTGTGTTTACGCGATTATATGAGCGTGAGCTGCGCGAGCTGCAGTACATATGCACGACAATAAAACTCGGCGACTATATATCGTGTGTATTAGCGAAAAATCCGTGTACGTGCGCGCACGACGATGATGGTTCGCGATCGCGCTCGGCGTTCGGTATTTCGCCGCCGCTGCCGACGACGATCGTCTTAGTGGTGGTGCTGCTGCTACCAACTCTCGGAGAGTCACGAATCTCGTATATTTTTATTTTATAAAGGAGGCGCCATAGGAGACTGTATTACACGGGAAAGGTCGGTGGCCCACACGCACAGGTGAATCAAAATTCACGCCACACGTATAGTACACGCGGGTCAAGAAAAAGGAGCCATGACGATATTGTATCTCCGTATAAACTGGAGCTGGTACTCACGAGAGTGTACGATGGCCTCGCTGACTCTCTCTCTGTCTATGGGAATCGGCTGCTCCAAGCTCGTGGCTGTCAGCTCGTCTCACATTATCGGCCAAAAAATAAATAAAATAATACCGAACGTGCTCGAGTATATTATAGTCGCACGAATATCCGCGAGCTGTGGCGCAACAGCTGACGCGAACAACACACGATTACACACGTATACACTGATCACACACGGACACACACACACACACACACCGATGCGATGCGCGGGGGGGACACCCACTGTGCAAATTATAATGGTCACTCACTCCGATTTTATATCGGCTCGATGATGATTATTTTGAATTTTGATTACGATTGGAATCGTAGTTGCACGAGTCTCGCGCAGCAAAAGTTTGCCGATCTCGATCTCGCCGATCGCCGCCCGCGGACTGACTTGACTCGAGACTCTGGCTGAGAGAGACTGCAGCGACGAAAACGTCTCTCTCTCTCTTTCTCTGCAGCAAAGCTCGCGATCTCGAGAGTCGCTGCACTCGACAAGAGACTCTCCCCGAGAGTCACTGTGTGTTTTTTATCTACAACTTTTGTGTGCACACACGCGTACGTGCACTTTGACACAAGTTCTTGTGTACGTATGTATTTTTATTATTATTTATGCACGCAGCACCAGCGCAGTACAGTATCCTGCGCTGCAGTGTATCGTGTGTATTGTTGTAATGCGCGATCGAGGCGTGTGCTCTGCCCTGACTGACTGACTCCGCGAGTTGGCCTGTTGCTCGCCGCTGCTGCTGCTGCGAATATATCGGCGGCGCTCGCCTCGGCGCATATACACGTATATACATACACATACAGACACAGCAGCAGCAGCTCGTGCTAAAACGGAGTAAGCGCGAGAGAGAGAGAGAAACGGGCGACGGCTTTTCGCTCGAAAGCAGCCTGCCTGCATAGCAGCAGCAGTACAGCACCCAGAGAGAACCTCGGCTCGGCGCTCGCGAGAGAGGCACAGTACAGCACAGCATACACAAGAATTACGTTTTCTCTCCGTCTCTCTGCCTGTTTCGCGCATATATACACATACAGCAGCAGCAGCAGCAGAGACCGGCTTCCCCCGCCGCGGACAGCAGCAGCAGCAGCTACAACCAGCCAAGCCAAGCCAAGCAACTCTCTGCGAGCTGCGCGAGCTCTGCACTCGACTCGATCGCGGCGGCGGCGAACACGAGCTCTCGTATTTCGCTCGACCGTAGCAGGCAGCAGGCAGCAGCTGTACTCGTCCGCTGCTGCGCCGTGCATTTATAAGCTATATACCATTTACTCTCTATGCCGATCTCGCGGCCGTGCACAGCTCGGCTTCTCTCTCTCTCTCTCTTTTGCTCTCTGCCTTCGTAATTCTATTGTGGCATACACGGACACATCGTTTGGCTGCTCGCGGCATCTATATAACGCATGTATAATAAGCTATATAGGCTGCCAAAACTCGGCACTCGTATGTGAACGCTGTGTTAGCTATATCTTATCCTCAGTTTCCGACTGCGTTCTCGCACACCTATGATATTCACCAGCAGCTAGCTTTTCGCGAGCCATATATTTTTTTATCTCGTCCGGTTACGCAATTGGACGCTCGAAGCCTTGATTTAGGACGAATGTTTACCACGGCGATCTAGCGCATGATGGGTCACTGTGGGTGATCGTAGACGACGAGAGAGGCCGCGAAGGCTCTGAAGGCTTAGCGATCGTCGTCGAGTTCTCCTGCATCCTGTTTTTCTTATAAAAAATCGATGCGTAAGATAGCGTAAACAGTTTTGAAGCGATTCAGATCCTTTGGATGCTAGCAGCGGAGCTTGCGGGAGAAATTTTACTAAATTCACAATGAAAAACGAAAACAAAATTACACGGAACACTCCGACACCTTCGCACAATGTCATGAGATTAGGTCGAGAATTTCGAGTTGTCTGGCCGCATGACCAGATTTCTTTTGCATCAGGATTTTATTTGCCTTGGTTCATGAAGTTATACATTTCACGAACGATTTGGAGTGTCCTGCGTGATGCAGTATTTACTTTTTTTTAAACTGACATTAACTTGAAGGGTTCAAATTTTCATTAGCTATACAATCAGGAACGTGATCCATTTTTTTCAAAAATTTTATTGATTTTCTCAGATTATAATCGTTGTTTTTTCATAATCAGATAACGGTAGAGAAATTTTGAATATCATTATAAATGAAAATTTTTAAATAAATCATCCGAATATGCACAATAGTTTCCATACGATCGTTGTTATGCGTGAGAGATATTCATCAAATCAATTTAAGACTTGTATTTTATCTGAATATCTTTCTGGATATCTTATAGAGATAATTTGACGTTAGATGAGTTAATACCTTGAACTGAAAAAATTTATCTACTACTATAATATTACATATAACTATTATACTAGTATATTAAAGTTATAGTGTGTGACAGCATCCTGCAACGAATGGATGTTAATTTCCAAAGCAGACTTCAAAATATCACATCATGAATGTGAGGTATCATTATGCATTGCATGAATGTGTTTCTTGAGACAATATCTAGTTAGTGATTCTTTTCCGCATGTCATGGGTTATTTTACGATGCACCGTATTGATGTGTTTTTTAGTATATTGCTTCGTTGAAAATGACTTCCCGCACATATAACATGCATGAGCGATCTTATTATGCACTGAATCGATGTGGACTCGCAGATAAGCTTTCTGTGAATATGATTTTCCGCATCTATCGCAAGGATGTTTGATATACCATTGTGCACAGTATCCATATGAATTTTGAGAGTATGATGATTAAAAAATGACTTTTTGCATAAATCGCATACACATAATGCAAGACCGTTGTGCACTATACCGATGTGGATTTTCAGATAAGCTTTCCGTGAAAACTTTTTGTTGCATATATCACATGCATGAGTTATCTTATTATGCACCGTATCGATGTGGTATTTGAGATAACTCTTATAAGTGAATGTCTTTCGGCAAATATCACATGTATGTTTGATACCAGTGTGCGCCGTAATGATGTGGGTTTTGAGATTACCCTTTAGTGAAAATGATTTTCCGCATATATCACATGTATGTATTTTACATCCATATTTGACACCATTGGGCACTTTATCAATGTGCATTTGAAGACCCCCTTTTGATGCGAATTTTTTTCCGCAAATATTACATGAATGTGTAATATTATTAGGCATTGCGTCAATGTGTTTCTTGAGGTGATATCTATTTGATAACTCCTTTTCGCAGATATCACAGTCATGGGTTGTTTGACGATGTGCTGCATCAATGTGGCATTAGAGGAGAGTTTGTCGTGAAAATGTCTTGTTGCATACATCACATGAATGTGTGATACCATTATGCACTGAATCGATATGATTTTTAAGAGTAGGCTTAAGGTGGTTCTTTCAATATTTGTTGAGACATGAGACCTATCCTATCTTATAGATTAAATCACGCTGAATTCAATGATATAATTATTTATGGGGCTTACGCTGCAAAATCTCGAGATATTTTATCTCAAAGTATGCTATTTTAACACGGGAAGCATAGAACGGCCACCATTCATATGGTATTTCTAATCAAAAATTAATTTGTTCGGGTATCGGAGTGTATAGGTTTTATAGAAAAAACTCTAATCTTTCAGCCTGTGTATCGTAAAACAGGGCTTACGCTGCAAAAAATCAAGATTTTTCACGTAAAAGTGAAAAAAACGATGTTTTTGCTATAAATCAGCTGATGTCAGGCTGCGCAGTACTTACTGCGCATACAAAATATACAGCTCTAGGCAAGAGTTCACTATAGAAAAACTTAAACTGAAAGAACCACCTTAAGTGAAAATGATTTGCCACATTTATCACATGTATTGGCGACACCATTGTGCATCGCATCGATGTCGGTCTCGAGGCTACTCTTCTGTTTGAATGTCTTGCTACATATGTCACACGAGTAAGTAATAATATGATGTGATGATTCGGAATGCCTATTCAGACTACCCTTAGTATCAAATTTCTTTCCGCATATTTTACATACTTGGGTTTTATTGTGCATCTTTTGAGTCGTATACTTTTTGAGGTTATGTTCTTTGCTTAGCCTTTTTGGAATTTCCCTGTTTTTATTTTGTTCAAAAAGTTCACGGTCGATATTCACATTCGATTCTTCTCCGACATCATCAAAAAATTCTTGTTTCACTTGCCTCAGGGTTTCTATTTTAATTTTAGCTTTATAACCACCGTCGTCTTTTGCATTTGGCGAATCATTGTCGACTTTTTTAATTGTTAATAAATTAACGTTGGGCTTGACGTCTTCGCATTCAACGACTAATTCCAGTTCGTCGATGCTTCCAGGGTTTTTTTCACATTTTTGAAGGGTACCAGTCTGTTGAAAAATTAAAAACGAGTCCTATATTAAAATAACAAAACGAGTTAGATGTATATTTAATACATAACTTACTGAATTTTCTGGCAGAAATGTTAAGAATTGTAAGTTTTCAAGATCGGATTTCTCTTCCATCATCTCACGATCATTTTCCATGAACAAGGCATCGATAGGTTCCATTTTGACTCTACAATAACCCCAATCAAATCAAGTATTTCGTTATGATAATTTTATCATTTCATTCTCAATTGATGAAAATTACCTGACGGCACAATCGCGTGTATCGCTGGATTCCATCTTTCTCACTGAAAAATTTCGTTGACAATTAATCTTTCCAAGACGATTTCACACATCAAGCCAAATTGTTTATGCGACGAAGCACTGGCGAACTCAGCGAACTACCAATACAACCACACCGTCCGACTTTGCTCGCGAAAAACTGTGTCCACGCGAAATCGCGAAGTGCGTGTCGGCTTCTGCTCGCGACCCCAGCTCCGCAGTCTGTTTCTGTCGCGCTCGCTTGCGGTACTGTTGTTTTAGTGCTGCGTGCATAATATAACACACGTATGTTTACGTTTTCTCGCTAGTTGCTAACTTTTCGTGCGTGTATCTATAACTCAGTGCGCGTTGTGACACCGCGGCGTAAAGCCACGAAGATCGATTGCAACTATAGCAATGTAAAAGAAATTTCGAACCGCGAGCGATTGTGTGTGCGCGAGTGTGCGAGTCAACGGTCAACGCGATGGAAGATTGGAAAAATTTGGAAACCATGCGAAAAATGCCCTATTGCGAGGAAATCAGAGATCAGCAATGTGAATTTATTCACAAACAACTTTGCCCCTTGATCAGCAATTGGAAGGGCCAACTTCCGGGGAGATTACGATATCCGCGGCACAGCGAGATTCCGATGAATTCCGACGGAGGACACTAAAACTTGATGAAATATGACCACAAAATATTTTAAAACCTCACCTGATTGCATGTAGCACCCTTTATGTGTTTTGGACTCACCCCCAAATGTAAACCTTATTACGGATACCATTAATGTTTGATCGATTTGATGCGATGTGAGGAGTTGGGTATGTAAGGTGAGGCGAGGAGCGGGTGCAGGGGCGCAGCCCCTGCTGGGGGGTTGGGGGGGGGGCGAAGCCCTCCCCCCCACTGCCAAAAAACACCGCCATGGAACTTTAAAAAATAATTGGGTTTTTCAAATAATTAAATTTCAAAATTCAAATTCAATTTTTAAAAACAATTTTATTAACAATTTTAAAAATCAGTTTCATTATAGTCTGGGTCGGAACCATCTGCTTCAATCTCCTTATCGATGTTGTCTAATTCAAAATTAATTTGATTTTCTAGGCGCGGTTTTTTTGCCGGGGGTAGAAATTCTTTTTCCTGAGAAGGTGTTAATGTGGGTGGATTGATTTCTTTTATTGTCAAACCTTGCTTCACTTCACCATCGACTATTCCCGGATAAACGGTCTTTATATCGAGGAGAAATTGCATTATTTGAGACCCCAAATCATGCTTATATTGTATTAAAAATTTTCGTCTATAAAAATTCAAAGCCATATACTGATGGAGCAATTTTGTCGTTCTTCTACATTTTATGGATTTCTTCAAAAGTTCATTCTGGTTTTCTAAATCGTTTATTGTATTGAGAGAATTTGATTTATCGACGTATTCACCGATGCTGTGATTTGTCTGGAGGTGTACTGTATCGCTGCAAAACATTTTTTCAACCCCTTGATATTGTTTGGCGCTATCTGTGCAGATTCTCGAAGTATTAAAATGAACGTATTTTTGAATGTATGGCCACAACTCTCGTTTGTTCTTGGCGTTCACTTTGAAAAAAAGTCCAATTTTATCTTCTTTGCAATATAACCCGAGGACAATTATTGTCATCTGCTCGGTGACACGACCACGATGGTATTTTCTTTTTGTCAGGAACGTTTCGTCTATTTTTACTGTTTTCCCAGTGCCGCCTAAAACTATATCACTTTGCGATGCTACTACTTCAGCTATTTCTCTGCAAATAGCTGTAATAGTCGACGACAGTACTACAACTTCACTCCATACCATCTCGAGCATGGCGCCAAGCTTGAAGATGCTTGTACGTCTGTGTCACTGTCATTTCGATAACAAAACAAATAACTATAGCAAGCGCGTCACGGATTTCAATGCGACATGCTGTGCCCTCGAAAAACGTGCCAAAAGCAGGATTAATAATTTTACGACACGATTAACTACCTTTCTTATTTGATCTTGGAACCGAGCATCGCCAAATCCACTTGAGCTTTTTGTCAGCAAACTCTTCAACGTGCATCGGCAAATTGCAACATGATGGAGGCGTAGAAATGCGTGATGGTATTAAGTTGATTTCTTCGAGAAACAGAATAGCCATTTCATTCGTTGCAATTAACTTTTCGAAAGAATGAAAAATCGAAAAATTTTCCAATTGGCAATTTAATTCAGGATGTACACTCATTTTTTACAAAACTTCTACGAATACTTTATTTTAAATTGTTGATGAGTTGCGTATCGCTAGCAATCTTACTAACAACTGAATAACATTGAACGTTTAAGGAGGTTCCCTTGAAAAGTTCGCAAGAAGTACATATATCAATATCGATAGATTTTGACCTCCCGAATCCAATGGTATAGCTCTCATATGCCCAAGCCAGGCAAAATCTCGAGAAAAACGCGATCGAAGTTTCGAAAATTAACATGGGCAACATAGGAATTCATGAGAATTTGAGCTACATTTACAATTTATGAAAAGAAATCAAAGTTCGCAGAGGAATAATCATATACAAATTGTAGAGAAAGTTCTTATCTTTCAAAAACCGTGTCTCAAAGTAGAGGTAGCCTGCCGTTTTTTCAATATTTTTTTAATAAAAGACGCGAAAACACGACTTTTTCGGCTCGTTTTAGGGCTAGCAGACGACAAGCCAGCTAACTTAACACATGTTACTGTGCGAACTCTCAATTGACTAGCGTGTTACCCGAGGGAACCTCCTTAAATAATTGTTAGAACGGATGTATTCGAATTATTAATTTAAATTTGTCATTGTTGTCATAAAAAATAAAAAATTAGAATTTGGACGTATTTCATGCAAAGATAATTTATATAAAGAAAATATGTGTAGGAATAATAAAATAAAATACCCTGTGTCATTTTTTATTCATTTTTTATTTATTTATTTATTTATTTATTTATTTGTAACAAAAAGTATCCCTCGGAGTATGCAGTATGCCCGTACAATGTGTAAAAAGAGCTAAAATGTCAAGTTTTAGCGCCCTCTGTTGGAATTTATTATAACCTAGCAGTGCCACGGATATCGTAATCGTGCCCAACTTCCCAATCTCCGAGACATGTTTCCTCGCGAAGACATCGAGTGGCTTCTTGGGCTGTTAGTGCGTCCATTCATGATGAAAGAACAATTGATGGAATTCGTGATCGCGACCGGCTACAAGGACGAGCCCGAGCTCGACGACACCGGCAAGCCAGTTTTCAGGCGCACCACACCGCTCCATCTCGCCTACCACTATAAGATGGTCCCCGATCTTTTCAAAATATACGACAGATTCGACGTGAACTACACCGACGCGTACGGATATACACATTTTCACGTGGCCTGCGCGTTCGGCTACGTGGACATAGTGAAGAAATTCCTCGAGGCCGGCCAAAACCCCAATTGTCCCGCGCAAAAATCATGGTATTCGCCGCAAGATTTGGCTCTGCGGAATGATCCCAACGAGATCGTCGAGTTGTTGCTGAGAAGTGGGGATCGACTCCTCTGCACAAGACCAGCAATTCGACCGAGACCGACTTGGCACAGGTGGAGGCGTTCTTCGAGACCTGCAGAGAGCTCGATCGTCCGGTGCGGCTCGACGCCCGGGACAAGTGGGGCCGTACGCCGCTGCAATTGGCCGTGGCGAAACACTTGCCGGGTTTGGTCCGTCTGCTCCTGAACAATGGCGCCGATTTGGCCGGTTTCGTTTTTCCCACTGAGACACCGGATCGATCGAGGCATCGTGAAATCGAGCGCAAATTGAGACAGGCAGCCGATAGACGCTCTGGACGTCGTCGAAGCGCCAAAAGAAAGAGGATACGAGCTGCGTCGAAGCGACGCCCTGAAAATCATGGAATCGTTGCTCGAGATAAGATTGTTCGAGAATACGGCGGATCCGGAAACATTTTTGCACGACTACGAGGAGTTCGCGATGGAATCCGAAAACGTGGCAGAGTTACTCAAGTACAAGGAAGTGTGGAGACAATTTTTCCGGAGTTGGACACTGGATTCCATCTTGGTGCTGACGCGCTACGAACTGCCGATTCGTTGCTGTGAAATCGTCATCCAGAAGCTATAATGAACCAAGATTTATATAATATTTGCTTGGCGTCTGTAGACCAAACCTCGTAATGTCTTGTTATCATTTATATTTTTTTATATCCTAAATAGTACAAAATTAAATTTATTAATTCTAATTTATGATTGTTATAATTTTTTATCATAAATACAATTTTTCGTCATAAATCGGTATGTGAGCTATCCTCTAATCGGTATCGGTAAAGTGCCCATCGACTCGTTATACGACAAGCATCTAATGGGATTGGTGGAAAAAATTGACTCGTGCAGACTACGGAGCATCGTCGTCGTCGTCGGCTGACAAAAGTGTGTTGACACACGTACACACGTAGTATAAGGTACACACATGCCAATACACGCGGGTTATTATGCATTGTATATAAAGCTAAAAGGTGAAGGGATAACTATAAGTGCAACACACGCATACACAACACATTATGGGTTCGTGTAGTATGCGGCAAATATATAGTTACTATACGAATAATAAGTTAGAGAGAGAGAGCTGAAAAGGAGAGGACTATGCCTGCATAGCACTGCACTACACTACTCTGTACAGGGAGGGAGAGTGAGTCAAGTGCAAGCGCAGCAACGCAGTCTGCAGCAGCAGCGTATATGTACCTACGTCGGAGAGCAGCAGAAAATCTCGAGACTATTAAAGATTAAATATAGGTACCGAGAGGGAAGGGAGTAAAGTGACCTAGCAGCTCGAATCTCGATCCCCGCGAGTGTGTGAGAGAAAGAGAGAGAGAGAGAGAGAGAGAGAGAGAGAGAGAGAGAGAGAAGGAGAGGAGAAAGACGCACGGGGCAGCAGCAGCAGCAGCACACGCACGTATAGACAGAAAAACAGAAGAAAACCAGCCACGGAGCAACTGCACACACACATAAACAGTACACACACGCAGCAGAAAGAGTATTAAAGAGTGAGTTGCGGAGTTGGCTCGCTGCGGAGCAGTAAAGTATACATATAGGTATATGTATAAAAGAGTAGTCCAAGTGCCCTGAACTCTCGCGGCTTCTCTCCCTCTCCCCCTTTCTCGGTCTCTCTCTATTTCGCAGTTCTCTCTCTCTCTGTGCCGGTCCCCGCGCGCGGCAACGGCGGCTCGCACCGTTCACGGGGGCCTCAACTCGCGACCGTCGTAAGACATGCGGCGTATAAGCTGCACCGAATGCCGATATATATTCTCACGTATGCACGTCAGCTGTATATATAAGACATGCGGCGCATTATGCGGAGAGCTTTGCGCTTTGCTCGGGAGCGGATCTCTGCTGCTACTCGTCGACGGGCAAAGATTTGAACGATCGAGTTTTTCGTGCTTCTCTGTCCTTTTGATCGGTAAGGTTTTGCCATTACTGGCTATATGAAATGGTAAGTCCATTTTAAGATCGGTTTCGCTGACTAATGAGTATGTGAACGCAAGAAACGACGAGTCCCTCGAAAAAATCGCTGAATAGAGCAAGCCACACACATATTGTCGTAACAAAAGTGTATACGTGCGCGATAATTCGAGAGCTTTGCTGTTTCGCGAAATCACATGAATTATATATAGGCTACTATCCTATATATATCGGAGCTAAATATCCTACATACGCGTGTTCCACCGCACGAGTTTACACTTTATCGCGCACTGATAATCGACGATCGATTATACCCGATCGAACGAAAAATTCGCGCGCTCGACGTACCTAGTAATCGATATACGCCGTCGTGATTCGTAGTTTCAAGTATCCCACGTTGTTTTATGTTTTCCTCGTTTGTCTCATTTTTTACGCGTGTCTCGAAATAACAATAGTATCGAATGCAAAATTCGCAATAACATCGAGATTCGCGCGAGCTCGAAGAGCTCGTAACCGGCAGTCGGTCAAGGAAGTTTGGACGCGTGGGTAAAAATAATATATCGCGCGCAAGTTTACTGCTACCCGCGTAGTGTATAGTAGTAGACGCAGGCAAGACAGTTTCGCGTGCTGAAATGTAGAGCTGCGAAGCTCGCGCGATGTCTGCGTGCATGAATATAACATGTATAGGTATTTTAGCAGCAGCAGCGACGATTATATTATAAGTACGACGACGGCAGACGCCGCACTGCTGGAGTGCTGCACAACACCGACGACGACGACGACGAAAACGACGAGAGCTCTGGCGAAAGAGAGACACAGTGCGAGAAACAAAACATGCTATATCTGTGTGCGTGCGTGTAAGTGTTGTAATATGCTAATCAACATCAATTCGGCCAGCATGTCCAAGTGATATTATTATATCTTTTATAATATAAAATACATGTATAGTAATTGTGCGAGGCCTGCCTGATCACCGCCGAATATAATATATATTTGCTATACTACTTGATCGTGTGCGGAATTACTCTCGTTCACGCTCGTCTCGTCGTCTCGTCTCTCGCGGCTTAAACACATAATAAAAACGTTTATATATAAAAATATTATATATCGTTTTGGTTATATTGGCCCGCCTACGCACTACGGTCGCCGACGTCGTCGTTGTCTCTGTGCGTGTGTACAAAAGCTTTATTTTCGTCTTTTTATACGATCGCACAACACCCGGTGCGCCGAATTGCTCCTGTCAGCTACGAGCTCCAACGTGAACGATGTCTTCGAAGAGGTAATCATTTTTTTCAATTGTAATTTGTCGATCCTTTGTACTCTCGGATATCCATTTTAAAATTGTACTTTATACTTTTGTGCTGGAAGAAATTCGTTGTTTGAGTTGAACCATCTGACAATTATTTTTAATCGTGTATATTTCATAACAATATTGATATTTTTTTTATAAAAACTGATTTAATGAATAATTTTAATACAGTGAACTAAAGAAACTGTCCGAGGAGAGTCTAACCAGACAACCGGAAGAAGTTTTTGATATCATCTGCAAATTAGGAGAAGGGTAAGATTATTATTGAGCTTATTATATTCATGTCTCTCATTTTACTTATCGTTACAATTTTTTTCAGATCTTATGGATCTGTATACAAAGCATTACACAAGGAAAGTGGACAAGTTCTTGCTATTAAACAAGTTCCTGTTGACACTGATCTTCAAGAAATAATCAAAGAAATATCAATTATGCAACAATGTGATTCTCCATATGTAGTCAAATATTATGGAAGTTATTTTAAAAATACAGACCTTTGGGTACATATAATAACATAAATTTTGTTATCTCAAATTTTATTCATTTTATATATGAGCTATTTACTTATCGCAGATTGTTATGGAATATTGCGGAGCTGGTTCAGTCAGTGATATTATGAGGTTGAGAAAAAAGACATTACAAGAAGATGAAATAGCAACCATTTTGAGTGACACGCTGAAAGGTTTAGAATATCTACATTTAAGAAGAAAAATTCACAGGGACATCAAAGCAGGGAATATTTTGTTAAATAATGAAGGCCATGCCAAATTAGCAGATTTTGGTGTTGCAGGTCAACTAACGGTAAATGATTTTATGATTTTGAATGAGTATAAATTTATCGATAACTAAGTGTAATCTTTTTACCTTTACAGGACACAATGGCAAAACGAAACACAGTCATAGGCACTCCATTTTGGATGGCTCCAGAAGTAATTCAAGAAATTGGTTATGATTGTGTGGCAGACATTTGGTCCTTAGGAATTACGGCTTTAGAAATGGCTGAAGGAAAACCACCTTATGGCAGTATCCATCCCATGAGAGCAATTTTCATGATTCCAACAAAGCCACCACCCAGCTTTCGAGAACCTGATCAATGGAGTCCAGAGTTCATTGATTTTGTTAGTATGTGCCTTGTAAAAAATCCTGAAGAAAGAGCAACTGCCAGTGAATTATTAAATCATGAATTTATTGGTAAGTATTCAAGTAAATAATAGTCAACATAAAAGATACTTAAGCAAGGATTTATTTTTTAGGCAATGCTAAACAACCTGGTATTTTAAGTCAAATGATAGCAGAGGCTCATGAAATTCGAGAAAAACAAAGTACGAATCGTGTTCAAATTATCAATAATGTGGCTATCAAAGGACAAACAAATGCTGAAGATTCTGTATGTTTTTTAACTATTTGTGTTGAAATTCTTTCCAACCATGTTTTTTATTGAATGTTCATTAATTTTTTATTACAGGATGATGATGATTGCACTGGAACAATGAAACCATTACCAGAAGATGGAACTCTTGTACCAAGTCATGATTTAACAGATACTGGAACACTAACATCTGCAATGTTAGATTTGGGAACTATGGTCATTAATAGTGACACTGATAGTGAAGCAACTATGAAAAGTACAAACTAAGCTTTATGATAAAAGAAGAGAAAAAAGTATCATAGAACTTGATTTAATAAAACTGAATTTTTACAGGGCACAATACTGGATCAGTTGAATCAGGGAAAAAGTACAGACCTCTGTTTCTTGATCATTTTGATAAAAAAGAATCACATGAAGTTGACAAGGTATGTTTTGAATACATTTTTTAAGAAAAATGTAAAATAATTTTTAATACCATGTATGTGCATTTATCAGGGTAACGGACAGATAAATTTGATTCAAACTTCAGAAGTGGATAATAAGCTTGTTGAAGGGCACAACCAAGCTCAAGCTCAGGTCACTAATCAAATTTCACTTCCAGTACTTGAACAACCAATGAACAATGTATCAAAGATCCAAAATGTTTTCAATGAACGAGAATTTGACTTTGTAAGTTTTTTTGTATAAAAAAATTATTGTGCACTTAAAAATATAATGCTTTATCAATTTTTTTTCAGCTTAAGTTCCTTTCATTTGATGAATTGCAACACAGAATGGAAAATCTAGACGATGACTTGGAGAAAGAAATTAATGAAATTAAAAAAAGGTATCAGACAAAACGTCAACCTATTCTTGATGCTATGGACACCAAAAGAAAGCGACAGCAAAATTTTTAATGTGTAGCTAACTTTAAAGCAAAACAAAACTCGTGTGATAAAAACCAAGAGTGTAAATTTGTATAAATAGATATTTTATATTAACAACTTTGAAATCAATTGTGAAAATAATAAAGTATCGACTAGGCATGCCTGTCACTTTTCCTAGCGATACAGAAATTACATGAGACGATTTTTAAATAATGGTTCGTCATGGAGAAAGTAATTTTTACATGAATTGTATAAGAATGACTACTCTAATACTTAATTTTTTTTATCAATCTAAAGTAGTTATCATTAAAAATAGTATTCTTGCAGCAATTTGAAGTGTACTAAAAGAAACAAGAAGCCTTAAAAAACTTTTTAGTTTTACGAGGATATAAATGAATGGAATACACTAGAGTGTACATGTACATAAGACAAGTAGGGTGTTAATTTTGCACAGGAACATTTTTTAAACATTGTAATTTAATAGTAGTAGCATAAAAAATTTTTTGTAAAATATGTGGAACTGCGAAATTAAGTTAAAATTTAAACATTTTTTGATAGACGCCATTGTTGTTATTCAATTTTTCTTCAATAATTGTTAATTAGAACCTATTAACTTTTATTAGTATGTATTTGAATAATAGGTGTGATTGTTTAAGTAAAAAATTATTATAGTCCACTGAAGCAATTAATCGACTTAAATACGTTGAATCAGATAAATATTTTATTGACTTTTTGATTTTTTATATACTTTTACTGATAATACTACAAAATCAAAAATTCAAATTATTTTTAATTGTTTATGTTAAACGGGTGCTATTGATGTTTTGGATTATTTTATAATATCACCAGCGTTTTAAACTATCATAATGTTAGCATTTTCATCTTTACATCGTAAATTATTACAAATTACATATTTTGGAGTTTCCACTTTTTTTAACTGCAATATGCAACATAAAACTATCTATTCATGACACTGAAGTAAATTTTACGTTCTGTAAAAAGATTTGTGCTTGTCAAGTCTAGTGTAAATGTTTTTTTTACTTTGCATGTTTATGCACGTATTTATAATAAACTAATATTAGTTTTCCAAAACAATTGTACATTTCACAAATGAAATTTTTGATATATAAAATTATTTCAGTCCTATGAATACATTTTTTTGGTACTGTTCATCGTGTGAATAATAATTCATTGATTCACATATGGACTTTATCCGGTAAAAGCTAATTGAAAACAGAAAAGAGATACTGAAATTTACAAAAATTAAAACTATATTGTTTAACACTCAAATACTTGTCTAAATAAAATTATTACTATTAAAACCATTTTTGCAAATATTTGAATTATTTTTAAACATTAAAAGTTAACCGTTTTAACAAATTGTTAATACTTGAAAAAATTTTCTGTAGGATGCTGAGAATTTTTTCAAGGGTATGTCGGCTTAGCGAGTTTTCTTGTCATTAATTCAAAAAAATGAAAGTACTTAGCAAAGTTTCAATTGCTATACTCAAAAAATTTTAATGTTTTAAATGTTTTTCAATTAAAAAAAATTTGAATAGAAAGTTTCAACAACTTTTTACAATCCACTTTTAAAGTATTTATACTCAGTCATCGTAAAAAAACGTCCTGTTATTTTACTTTGAGACGTATAAACTAAACGCAATTTTGGGACAATAGAAAATATATTTTTCATTTTCCCATCAAACCCACTCGCCTTCTAGAAAGTAAAACTAACTTTTGATATATAATAAAATATAAACATATTTGGTATTTATTTAATAAATGACTTTTTAAATATAAGAGTTATTATTTATTTTAATATCCAATGAAATGAATAATAAATATAGTGTTCTTAGTAAAATTGAATTGAAGTAAAAACTTTATTAAATACACCTCTAAGGAAAAAACCTTTCATTGGAAATTAACTTCCCTGTCAAAAATAATAAATTATTTGCAAATTTTCTATCGTGTTAAATTAATTTAGTTAACCTTCAATAATTTACCATTGCATTCCTGTATTTTTAGTCATAAATTGAAGCTGAATTATTGGTTACTCCTAATGGCTAAAAATGTCTAATTTTTTCCAAACTATAATTGATTTTTTCGAATTTTTCCAAACAATATAAAAAAGTTTCATTTTGGTATGTAACTTTTATAGTCGATGTACTCTAAATTAAAGCTTAGCTGTTTCTCTTTCATTATAATTACGTAGATATTTCAAACGACACTTTGAACTTAAGAAAAAATGAAAATGATTCAGAAACAAAATTTTTAAAAAATTAAATTGAATAAAAAAATTAAAGTTACTTTTAACGAAACCATCAGATAGACTTCTCAGGGAACAGGATGAAAATCAGGAAAATCATTTAATTTTTTTGAAAAATGGCATTCACTGCGGTTACTATAGATGGGGGGAGTACACAAATAAATAATTTAATTTTCTTGAAATACTATTCGTTGTGGTAACCACAGCCATAGTCGTTGCAGCTCCTCGTGGAAATGCTTGACCGTCAATTCCACGAAAAAAACCGCCAGTGACAGCAGGTAGCCCGCAAGAAGCAGCAAAAATACGTTCCTGTAGGAGTGGTCTCTCATTTTGTCCGGCAAAAAATTTTTTCTGACGGGCCCCGACAACGATTGGTCGCTGATCTCGTAACGATGCCGATCTACGGCCCCATAGTTATCCCTCCACCACTTGTTGACGAGTCCCGCCGCCTGAGCGAGGTGAATTATTCGATTGAAGCTCGGCGTATAAGGCGAACCCGGGCGCATTTCTATGACCCGATAGCTCGACCAGAAACAGGGCTCAGCCTGTGTCATCGGACCGCCAATGAGATCCATCACTATCAAAATCTCGTAATGTGAGAGGATGCAGCTGACGTTGCCGTGGGTGAGCAGCCAATAGACGCACTCCATCATATCTTCTGACTGAACTGCTTTTTCGCGCAATCTGCGAGTACATTAGGTTTTGCTTAGAGAACGAACGATTCAAAGGTGACTCACATAAGATAGTGCGTGTATTACAATACACTATAATTATGCAAGCATAATGATAATATTATAGAAGGTTTCCCAAAAGTATGGAAATCCTTGGAAATCTTGCCATTTTTAAAAAAGATTTCTATTATAAAGGTCACATTTAAAGTCACCATTAGTTTATTCGTTGAAAAATGCACGCAAGACAACTTTTTTTAACGTTTACTTCGCAAGATTTCCAGTGGTTTCCACAGTTTCCGTTCACTCTCATGTGCATGCACCTGCGTAACGTTGGGTTGTTCCTGTATTTGAAAGTTGAATTGAACATCGTGGGATGCATGATTGGTATGAGGCCCGACTCGTCCAGTTCTTCGAATGTCTCGAATCTCATGTAGGCCTCCCTGCCGAGTTTCAAGTTGGTCAGTTGGGCAAGAATGTTCGACGAGTAGAACAAGGCCACCATCAGGACGCAGCCGAAGAGCAGCCGTTCGCGCAGTGTCACGGCTTGGGCCGTTGTCGACGAGCCCATCATCTGCAGGCCCATGTCCAGCGGTTGCCAACGCGACAATAAAGACGAGGCAACGTCGCCACGAAGCAGCAGCAACGACGATAGCCAGACTACGGCGACGAGGCCGAGAATCACAAGCAGCGACCATTGGATACCGCTGCCCAGTTGAAGAACTGGTTTCCTCATCAGTGGTACCAGGCCGTAGACGTACTCTATTCTGATAACAGCCGATGAGTGTATCTGTACGACATATTAATTAAATATGTGACATCACACGTTAAGTGGTCCATCACTGACAAGGAGAGCTTTTCAGGTCCGGGTCACAGATCTTTACCAAACTTTTTTGGGGGTCTTCTGGTACTCAATACTGAAGCTTCCTGTGCTTAGTTTGATCTCATGGGCCTTGGGGCCCATTTTTAGAGGGGTTTCCACATTATAAAAAAATCGTTGTTATTTTCTATATCGATATAGAAGTACTTAAACGAAAAAATGCAACGATCAAAAGTTTTAAAATTGGTCGAAAAATCTGCTTCAATTTTTTCAGAATTTTTTTCATCTATCGCTTAATTCAAGAGGCCCAAATTTGACGCTTTTTTAATAGATTTTAGGACTTCTCAAGGACTAACAGGGGGCTTAATTATTTTTCATTTTTCAATTACAGTACTAGCCTGTACAAGTGAAAAAAAATGTTTTTTTTAAGAACACACATGATAACCCTTTTCAAAACCCTATTTGAAAGTATTTTGTCCAGTTAGATACTGAGAAACAGTTAAATACATTAATAGTGAGTGAGTTGACCCTTAACGCAAGCTTTACGCATATCTAAACTACCTGTGGTAGAAATCCAAGAGCAAGCATTAATCTATTGTAGCCCATGTAATTTCATTTTGTTTGACAGCCAATTGACCATGGTCGCAACCAAAAGATAGCCATAAAATGAATTATATCTATTTGTACATATAGCAAAGTGAAATTAACTTATGGAAAATGATAAAAAATGAATACCAAATTCTAGAAAATTGTACACACAAGTAGTTACAGTTCATCTTATGGCTAGCTTTTGGTTGCGACTATGGCCAATTGGCTATCGAACAAAATGAAACCACATGGGCTACAATAGATTAAAGCGAGTGTTAGATGGTCCCAAAAATTCTGAAAAAAATTCAAGCAGATTCTTTGAAAAATTTTTAAACTTTTGATCGTTGCATTTTTTCGTTCGAGTACATCCGTATCGATATATAAAATAACAAAGATTTTTTCATAATGTAGAAAATCCTCTAAAAAATGGGCCTCAAGGCCCATAAGATCAAACTAAGCACAGGGAGCTTCAGTATTGGGTACTAAAAGACCGCAAATAAATTTTGGAGCAAATCCATGACCCGGACCTGAAAAGCTCTCCTTGTGAGTCCAAAAATTGAAGCCACCTAGAATCAATTTAGGATCCGTTCGTATGAAAAAGGCCACCACCTTATAATTAAAATAATCCGGAAACCATAAGGAGTGATATAAAAATGAATTATACAACTGGTTTATCGCTTTAAATGTGCTTTTTACAACCCACAACCCCTTATCCGAGCCCCTCAAAACCTTGCAACCCTTTACCCATGCTTATCTTTGCTTTGCTTTTTCCGATTTCAGGGATTTATGAACCTAAAGTTTCATTACCTTTCTGCACCTCCGTAATTTTGTAATTTCGTATCCCTGACACTGAAATACAAAATTCGGACTATAACATTGTCGCCTCAACTCGGAAAGGTATCGCTTTGAACTCAGAAGCAAAAGAGTACTTTGATTACCCAAGTTAATAAGATAACATTAAGGCGAGTTAGGGGGTAGAATAAGGAGTTGTGAAATTAATAGTTTGCCAGGGTCTTAGGGTAAAAAGCATATTTAAAGCGATAAATGAGTGGTATAACTCATTTTTATACCACTCCCTATGGTTTTCGGATTATTATAGTCATGGGACGGTGGAGTTTTTCAAAAGGGTCACGTGAATTTCGAATTTTATTGTTCAAACAAACGGTTTAAGCTCTCAATCGATTCTAG